AATATAAATCAATTAGTTATATAACTATCTTTTTTGTATATTAATCAATATGAACATGAATATTCCAATTATTTCCATGTAATCCAATTTCTTAATCAATTAATTATATTTACCAATAATTTCGCCCATATATTCCTCCAAACCACAACTTAACCATTTCTGCTTTCAACACAATATACAATTAATAGTATCTCAATTATTACAATTCCCTAGTTAAATAGAGCTTTTTTTCTTTTATGTTTTAAAATCTTGAACCTCCTCTTTTGCCCTAAATTTCCCATTGTTTGCAGTTTTGCACCTACCTTTTTTGGTGAGGAAAAAGAAAAAGAAATATCTCTCTGCCTCATTTTGTCATGTTGCAGTAAAGACCCTGCTTTACTTTCAGTTTCGCTTTTTCAGCATAGCTAGGGGAAAAAAAATCTGCTCCAGCAATTTACCTCTTTGCAGCTAGCTAGCAACAGAGCCCTCCGCAAAACAGCTGAGAGTAAATCAGCTGAGAGTCGGGAGGCTGATCAAATCAACTTATGGTAATTAACCTATGCTGAAGCTGAAAGGGGCTGTTTTTTCTATTTTTGCAGTTTACTCATTTGTTTTCTTTTAACACTGATCAGCTGTAGGGCGGCCCTTTGAAGGCCCAGGGCAAGAATTTAAATAGTTTTTTTCGCTCTAGCCATCAGCTGGGACTCAGGAGGCAGCAATAGATTGGGTGTGGGCAGGGTAAGCGAACGGCGAATGGCGATCCAACAGAGGCAGAGGGTGAGTGTGAGTGAAGGCGTGGGGGGGGGTGAGAGAGGGCTTTGGCGACCCCTGTGAAATGGCTGTTCAACCCCCAAAGGGGTCGCGACCCCAGGTTGAGAACCGCTGCTCTAGTAGTTAATGCTTTTTCTCATCCTCTTCATATATATGAAATCAATAAAACTATTTTTTTAAGATGGGATATAATGCGTGGAAGTTCTTGTATGAAGTGCTTGAGAGACTTTGGGATGTTTCTTCAACAGAGGAAACTGATTCCAGAATCCTGGCTGATTGCTGTCATAGCTGACATATGACATACCAGATATGCCTCTGAGAGCATCGGTCTTTTATTCCCAAAGGAGAAAATGTATTGCAACAATCCAGTCTTAACCAATTGAAAGTCCTTCCATGGCAAGGATGTCACTTCTGGGGCCTCCATAAATACTTTCCCTCCAGGACAAAAAAGAAAAGATATAACCGACTCTATATTCTATATTCATACTCCATATTCATGTTCTACAGAGGAATTGCTGAGTCTGTCATCTGCACTTCTATAACTGTCTAGTTTGATTCTGCAACCCAACAAGACAGACACAGACTTCAGAGGATCACTAGAACTGCAGAAAAAACAATTACTAGCAACCTGCCTTCCATTGAGGATCTGTATACTGCACGAGTCAAAAAGAGGGCTGTGAAAATATTTACAGACCCCTCGCATCCTGGACATAAATTGTTTCCACTCCTACCCTCAAAATGATGCTGTAGAGCACCGCACACCAAGACAACTAGACACAAGAAGAGTTTTTCCCGAACGCCATCACTCTGCTAAACAAATAATTCCCTCAACAGTCAAACTATTCATTAAGGCTGCATTAGACTCTCATTGTTCCTATCACCCATCTCCTCCCACTTATGACTGCATGACTGTAATTTTGCTTGTATCCTTATGATTTATATTGATATTGCTTCCTAGTATGATTTGATTGCTTATTTGTACCCTATGACTATCATTAAGTGTTGTAGCTTATGATTCTTGACGAATGTATCTTGTTTATGTACATTGAGAGCACATGCATCAAAGACAAATTCCTTGCGTGCCCTATCACACTTGGCCAATAAAGAATTCTATTCTATATAACAATAAAGATATAACCAATTCCATACGGAAATTCAGAAACAATCTGTATGAAGCCATTGAAGTCTTAACCACACTTTTTACATGGCTTCGATGTGAATTTTAATGTCTCTCAAGATCAAAAGCTACAGAATTTCCAGCATCCCTTCCAAGATCAATTACTGCATCAGTGATTCCGCTGGCACACAAGCCAGATCCACCTTCATCTGAGCATCCAGGAAAAACAAAATTCTTTTAATTTCTTGGCCTTGTTTTTTTTCTTAGTACAATTGGAATGACATTTTGGAGATTACTGTAAAGAACTCCATAAAAAAAAAAAACTGCTTATGCATAGCCCTCCTTTCTTTTCCCCTATTTTCTACTAAGTTAGAAGAACGCTTTTAAGTAAAGTACTGCGGTTCCTATGCTGGAAGTACGTTATGGCATGCTACCCGTCCACGTGTTGCCTCCGCGTTTTCAATCCAGAAGAACACTCTGCAAGGTCTTTTAAAAAGCCCGTTTCCCAGTTACGCTTTGCCACCAGCTGGGAAAACTGGGAAACAGTTACGCTGGTGGCAAAGCGGCATCCATCTTTCCAGAGTTCCATGATCCCTGGAAACAATCACACGTACAAATAATTTACTTCACAGCTACAATCAGCAGAGCGACGTTGTCACCGCCCCTGAACATAACAAAAACATCAACCCAAACACGCGGCGCAGAGAACTATTTGTGGCAAGCCACAAAAATTAACCAATCGCTGCTTCCGACGTCATAATCTCCGCACCCAACCCCTCCCTCCTCCAGGCAATATGTGGGCGGAGCCTCCGTTTTTACAGCGCCTTACTCTGGAGAAGTCAGACGACGTGGACCGTGGCGGGGAAGACACGCGTCTTTTTAGTTATCTTACAAGGGAAACTTTGGAGAGAAATTATTGTACATTAAGCTCGCCGGCTTTTTTTAGGATTGGCTCTGAGGGAAAGCGGCGTTCTTCTGAAGCAAAAGTGAGAGCTATAATGCACGATACAGCTTAGTTTGGATTTTAGGGTGTCTTACTTGAGAACTTTTTAACATCTCTTTAGGGTAGCCTAGTTTTACAGAGTAACAGTTGGAAGGGACCTTGTAGGTCATCTAGTCCACCCCCCCACACCAGGAGACCCTACGCCAATTTAAAAGCAATAACAAATTAAACTCTCAGCCTAATACTTTTTTGTAATCCAGGTTCCTCTCTGGTGTGGAGCGAGGATTACACCCTCATCTTCTAAAATGCTTCTCAGACTACAGTACCTTCACAAAGCGCGGGGTGGGTGGGTTTGAAGGCCATTGCCTTGCGACTGCCCCGCAGTGGATATCAATCAGAATAGAACTGGAAGGGACCTTGGAGGTCTTCTAATCCAACCCCCCCCCCCCCCCCCGCTCAAGCAGGAGACCCTAGCATTTCAGACAGGTGGCTGTCCAAGAGGATACTTTGGAACCATTTATTATGGGGTGTTTTTTTTTAAAGAAACCTTAATGAAGCCGCTTTTAACGAGACAAATTGGGCGCGCAGGACTATGGAAGACAGCGCTGCTGCCGCCGACCCCCTTCTCCCCCACTCCCGTCGCATTCAGTATTCATTTCCACGGAGAAGGCCGATTATCCTTTTTCTTGGCTGCAGAAGCACTGATATAAACACCCATTCAAGATCCCGGGAGAAAGATTTAGAAACGCTTGAAGTTTGCCTCCGCCTGGAATTATTTATAAAAACTAAATAAAAGGCGGAATATAAAGAAATAAATTTCACATCGGCGAATTCTGGGAGTCGAAATCGCAAGAGACCCAAGTTTGGATATCCTTGATGTCGATACAATTCCACGCTCATTTTCTACCTTTCTCCCCTCCACTTTCAGGCTGTGGTGACAAAAGCGCTGCTACCTTTCCCCACAGTCGCATTTTCTGAAGTTCTGCTCTAAAAGTTCCCGATTTAAATGGTGGGGCAAGCAGCCTTCCACGCCACGACACTCAAAAGTTTTTTAAAAAACCAAAAATCTGGACGCCGCAGCCAATCTATAAAGGAATCCCGGTGTGAAAGCGGCAGCCTTCTTCCCGCCCTCGCGTATGTGACGTCATTCAGAGGGAGGGAGGAAGGAAGCCGCCATTTTGTTTGTTTGGCTATTTGATAACGGCCAAAACCGTCATATTCCTACCTGCTCGTAGCCGGGAAGCGTCCGGGAAGGTCACCTTTGTGGAGGGGAAAAAAGGTAGGTGTAAATAGGAGCGTCTTTGGGACGATTCCACGGTTTGGGAGGGAAAAAAAGACTCGGAGCTCCGTTTGGGGGAATGAGAGGGAGAGGAAATCGACGATAAAAGTTGGTGTAATTTCAAAATTTCTTTTATTTCCCCCCCTGCGTTACCTGCACAGCAGCAAAAGAGGTTTCCCCAACCCCAACCCCGATGTTTTTCCTGAGGTTCGTTGTTGCAGTTCTTACGCTAAAAGAATAGAAAGCAAACGACGTGACTTAAATTTAAATATATAAATTTAGATTTGATATATCGGTATGATCCACATTACGCCTCAGCAGCCATTCCGCGAGTAGAGAAATCAGTTTATTCAGGCTTATCTGGAGATGCTAGAGAGCTAAATATGGGAGTGGGTGGTCAACTATGTACTGCACCTTTTATGACTGCATATAAAGTATCTTTAAGCATCGAATAATCATAGCCGAATGAGTGTAGTATCGAGATAGATACACTCCTCTTTGCATTAGGACTTCACTAATTGCCAATAAAACAGATCCACAAAAAAGATGGTAATAGAAAGTCAGTTTAAAAATGAGCATCCTTGCATTTGATGCTGAGCAGCCACTGTCTTAATATGCTATTATTTTATTATTATTATTATTTTTAATTTGATTTATATGCCGCCCTTCTCCGGAGACTTAGGGCGGCTTACAATGCGTTAAGCAATAGCCTTCATACTTTTGTATATTTATACAAAGTCAGCTTATTGCCCCCACAAATTGGGTCCTCATTTAACCTACCTTAGAAAGGATGGAAGGCTGAGTCAACCTTGAGCCTGGTAAGATTCGAACCTGCAGAAATTGCAGGCAGCTGTGTTAATAACAGGGTGCATTAAACCACTGTACTACCAAGGCTCCTTATTGTTTGTTGCATTGCATTGTCAGGGATGCCTGTTGCCCCTCTTTCCCAGTTTAAGCTGGAACATGCTCTTCAACAAAAGGTAATGAGATATACAGTAGGAGCAGACAACATTGATTTTCAGTGAGTTTACACATTACAGCAAACCTTAATGGGATACGATGCTAATGGCATTCAAACAATGTTAAGCTATGGTTTATGAATAAACCATGATGGCTGTGTTTACAGAACATGCCATTCCATGTCAAGTGGTCTGGGGGGGGGGTCCCTGCTTGACCATCATGGATTTCAATGAAATTTTGTGTGAACATGCACACATGTCCCCAATGAACATTGGTAAAGTATTACGTGTGCTGATGCAGTACTTGTGGAGATACAGGCATTTGTGTGACCCCATACCGCAGCCTTCTACAGTATGAATGAGGTTCCAGCAACTTTGAGACATAATATCTCCGGCAATATTTTGTTGAGAGAAACAAAATTTGGCCATCTTGTACAGCTTTTTGTGCTCTATTAAACAAAATAATAAAAACATTCTCATGAGCGATCTCCATCTAGATAATTTGGAGCAAAGTGGCTGAAAATAGTGTGCTCAAAAAAGGTTAAAGTTTGGCTTTTTATATCTCTGGAAGGAAAGGTATGATAAAGGTGAAATTTTGTGCGTAATAACTTAGCAACACAAGGTTTTCGAATATAAAATTTCATCCTCCTACTGTTTTCCAATAGTTTACAAGAGTGTAAAGTTGACGTTTTTTATAAAAATGCCAAACATAGGTATTTTCAGCCCACTTTTACAAAAACAGACCTTCTGAAACTCTGTTAAATCATTTCATTAGAAACAGCATGTTTCACCCCCCTAAAAAAAGTAGGATTGGTTTTTCATCGCTGACATATCAAGCCCTAACAATAGGGACAAAGTTTAAGGACATTGCTATGGCAACGCTATGTACATCAGCATGCATTATTTTATATTGTGCTGTTGTAATTTCATTTATGCTGGAGTTTAAAGTGTGTAATTCATTTCTTGTATGCTATATGAATCTGTTAGTCTACTAGCGGTTCTTCTACACTAATGATCGGTTAACTGCTGTAAGTACTTTAGTGACGCCAACATTAACATGTTGCGGCTATAGGATTCTGAACTGTACAGGTATAGTTGTCATATTTGTGTCATAACATTAGAACCTTATGTAACTTCTGTGTTTCAGATTTTGCAGTAATACACTTTACATTATTGCAAATTTCCATAATATGTAAAATGGATGTCGACGAGTCAACTGGCAATCCTACTTTGCCCAAATGCGTTATTGGAGAAAAATTGTCGTCAACTTGCCACCATGGTTCATTTTATTCCTATGAAATTGGGCTGCATTATGTGCACAGTTTGTCCACTGAAGAAAAATTACTCAGCAATCAGAGGTTGAGCTCACAGATGATGACCAAATCTGCTTGCATCACAAAGTGATGTATCTGAAAAAGTACGGCATGAAGCAAAAGTTGTCCTGCAACCCATTTAACAAACAAAATAACGTAGCTAAACATGGGCTGCCATGTCCAATGATTTAACAAAAGTGGCAAAAACAAATGTGAAGCGGGGTCAAAAGATTTGTTCCAGGTGTAAAGCCAAATACATTTCCATGATCCAAAGCATAGCAGACTCTTCATTGTCGGATAATTACGATATGGACATTTTTGGACACTGTTAATAGAAGTTTGACCAATTTAGGGACTTCTCCATTAAAAATTCAGAAGTTGAGCAGTAGGGATTAAATTGGCTATCTGAAATGAAAAGTTGAACGTGTGCAGAAAGTGATAGCACACAAAATAACATTAGTTGCTGGAGTAGCAGCTGAAGATATTGGGCAAACTAGCGAGTCTGCTTCTAAGGAATGCCAGTCATGCCAGGATTATGCTGACCTAATTGAAGACATGAAAATGAAAATGAAAATATCCGATAGATCGACGAAAGTTCAATTATTGACTTTGGCCCAAAGAGTTGGTTGATATCTGTGACAGCAAAGATGTTTGGCGTTTCAGAACATATGGTTAAAAAGCGAGAAAAATAGGCATTTGTGCACTATCAGATGCAAAAGTTGGCAAACCGCTGCCAAAGGAAATTGCCGAGAGTTCGAGATCTCTTCGAGGATGACGAATTTAGCGGGATGTGCCCTGGCAAAAAGGATTCTGTTTCCGTTTGTCTTGATGGCATCAAGGTTCACAAACAAAAGTGGTTGCTACGTGCAATCTGAAAGAATTGTATGTGGCATATCGAAACAAATATGGTGCTGAAATTGGTTTCTCCAAATTCTGTGAACTCAGACCAAAGTGGTGTGTCACCGTCTGTGCTCAGGCACACATTCCATCTGCCAGGCACACATTCCACCTGCGTGTCCACCATTCATCAAAATGTTAAGCTTATTCTACAAGGTGCCAAAGAAGACTACAAGCTGGTCTTGGGAAAGGTAGTTTATGATCTGAACACCAAAGAATGTATGTTGCAGTGATGCAAAAACTGTCCTGGTGAAGAAGCACTGATAGCGCATTTGGATGAAATATTCGAGGACTGGGATTCGGAAGAATCAATAGAATTCAAACGATGGGTTCATACTGTCCGTGAAATGCTGGAAACAAATGTTCTCACTGTTGACGGCTTCATTGAAAAACTCGCTAGCAAAATTTGGAAACTGGCCACCACTTCGTTTCAAAACATCAAAGCAAATATTTGAAGTCGTTGAAAGCCGGCTAAAAGAAACCAAACTGATTGTACTGATGGATTTTGCAGAGAATTAATCGTTTGTTCTCCAAGATGCTGCTCAAGGCTTTCACTGGGAGAATTTGGAAGCCACAGTGCATCCATTCATCTCCTATTATGTTCATAAAGATAGTGCACTGCAAATTGTCAACTGTTGCATAATTTCTGATAATATGCAACATGATAGAGTTTCCATGCACGTGTTCATTCGGAAGTTGATTGAGTTTTTGACGACTAAAACTAAGATTACAAGGATATACTACTTTAGAGATGGTTCAGTAGCGCAATACAAAAATTACAAAAATTTCATCTATCTGCAATCACAAACATGATTTCGAAATAGAGGCCGAATGTAATTTTTTCAGCACGAGTCATGGCACATCATGCGATGGAGTTCGTGGCACGACTAAATATTTGGCTGTTCGAGGCAGTCTCCAGCAACCATCAGCTGACTAAATACTGAGAGATCTGTTCAACTTTTGCAACAGAAACATTCATGGAATTAAATATATATATATGTTCCGAAGGAAGAAATCGAAGAAAGCAGAATGCTGCAAGAAAGATGGAAAGTTAGCAGCACAATAGCTAGCACAAGAGATCATCACCAGTTTGTGCCAGTTGATTCAAATTCAATTTCTGTCAGCAAAGTTTCAAATGACATGATTAACTTTGTGGCCAAAATATCCAATACCGTCGATGCAAATTTAAAATTGGTCGACATGTTTCCCAGTTGTTATGTTGCCTGCATTTATGACAAAAAATGTGTGTGTAGGTAACGTTGTGGAAATTTCGATCGAACAAAATGATGCATGGTAACATTCATGCATGGACTCTGCTTATTCATTTTATTGGCCTGAAAGACAAGATGATGTTGGGTTCCAGAACCACATCTTATTTGTGTGCTTCCAGGGCCTTTGGTTACATCATCAGGTCGACAGTATCAATTTCCAGAAGTGGTGCTAAAGAATGTGGCACATAAATTCAATAATAAATAAGCAATCGTTGGAATTTGGCAGTTCATACAAACAGTACGGACTTTGGCTTGGGAAGTATATAAGATACCCACTTTAGGTTTGGGAACCTAGGATAAGCTGCCCAATTGTCGGCTTGGGAACCGGACAGATATCCACACAAGGCTTTGGAACTTTGGGGAAGAAGCCAAACTACAGGCTTGGGATCCTGAACCAAGAAACCCACCCGTGGCTGGTATTGCACAGCTACTGGACCTGCCCCCTATGGCGATGGGGTTGCTGGTTCAAGTGCCTGAACTGGTAGTGACAATGTCACCATGGACCAACACAATATAATAGTAGTAATGATGTCTATATAAAACAAACAAGATGAAAAACTAACAGAATGCATGTGATGTAGCAACGTCCTAAACTTTGTCCCTATTGTTAGGGTTGATATGTCAGCGATGAAAAACCAATCCTACTTTTTTAGGGGGTTGAAACATGCTGTTTCTAATGAGAATGATTTAACAGTTTCCAAAAGGTCTGTTTTTGTAAAAGCGGGCTGAAAATACCCTATTTTTGGCGTTTTTATAAAAAAACGTCAATTTTACACTCAATTTGTAAGCTATTGGAAAACAGTAGGAGGATGAAATTTTATATTCGAAAACCTTGTGTTGCTAAGTTATTACGCACAAAGTTTCACCTTTATCATACCTTTCCTTCCAGAGATATAAAAGCCAAACTTTAACCTTTTTTTGAGCCACACTATTTTCAGCCAGCTTTGTTCCAAATTATCTACATGGAGATCGCTCATGAGAATGTTTTTATTATTTTGTTTAATAGAGCACAAAAAGCTGTACAAGATGGCCATGTTTTGTTTCTCTCAACAAAATATTGCCGGAGATATTATGTCTCAAAGTTGCTGGAACCTCAGTTATACTGTAGAAGGCTAGGGTATGGGGTCATACAAATGCCTATATCTCCGCAAGTACTGCATCGGCACACATAACACTTTACCAATGTTCATTGGGGACATGTGTGCATGTTCACACAAAATTTCATCGAAATCTCTGATGGTCTAGTTGGACACACTTCTGAAATCAGACCAATTGACATGGAATGACCCCAAAAGCAGTGTGATCATGCTTATAGTTCAGGGCTGGGAGCTATGGATGTGCTACATATACAGCTTACTATATATCCTGTCTCATTGCCAGTGTGATCATATTTGCTTTCAATGTGTAGAAGAGCAGACAGCTTAGTGTCTTGAAATCTCTTCCTCTCCAGTTTTTCTAATCCTCAGTGGGCAGGAAAGAAAGGTCAAGCAAAGAGAAATTGCCCACATAAACTCCTTGCTTTCCCCTCCCCCCATACTACAACTTTCAGAGTGAAGAGATTGTAGAGAAAGGGATTTGAAGGAGTAAGTTTCCAGCCCTAAGACAACTATCTAAAAATATTTTTAATATGTATTCTGTTTCTTTGCCTTGATAGATAGCATATTGGGTTCAAGTGATGAGGAATGGTAGGAAATACAATAAGTGGGCAGAAATTCTCTTGCATTTAAATAAATGATTCTGTATTTACAGATTTTAAATTTTTTTGTAAACTGCTGTTTGTTGTAACTCTGAAATAAATCTCACTGTCTAATGAGGTTTATTTCCACTAAATAGAAATTAGAATATAACCTTACTTTCATTTGCCATATTCAAGTAAAATCAACTCCTATTGAAATAATAGTCCATTTTGTCGTTAAATTTCAGATTGTGCTTTTAATTTGTTTTAAATTTTCATTAAACTAGCATGTAATACTTTTATCTGATATATTTCTTTTAAAAGATGAAGCACTCAAAACAAGCTTGTTATCATGAAGAAGATGACAGAGGAGAAGAAAAAACTACAAATAGCCGAAAACATAAGAAGAGGTCTCATAGTAGTGAACGAAATTACAGACGCTATAAATCACTTAAAATGCAGACAGGTACTTAACTATAATTTTCTTAATTATAAATATGGTACAGAATAATTATATAAATAATTAAGCATTATAAATAAGGTTTAAAGAGGTGAGAACTGCTCTCACCTTTGTGGCCTTCTGGAAGGGTATTAAAACTTGGCTTTTCCAGTTGACTTGGGCATTGCTTACCACTGGAAGTAGTTGATGGGATAAAAAAAGCTCATCCCTGTGCTATCCATTTCTTTGGTTCTAGATTTTATATATATTTTTAAAAATTTAATTGTTTACCACCATAGGGTCCAGCTTTTTCAGATGGTGTATCACTATCATCAAGATAGGCGGAAGCATCCTCTCATGCCAGGATGAATTCACCATTCACATATCCAACCAGAAGGGAAATGGATTTAACAGGCAGCCAAGTTAACAGTCCCATATTCCTCAACTGTCACAGGATTAAGCATTCCCAAATAATAGGACATGGCCATGCTTCAGCAAATATGACGAGACTGCCTAGTCAGATTCTAACTCAAGGTCCTATACCAATAAATACAACATCTTTCTGGTGGTGGCTGGGTAAGACAGCACCAGCAAGCCAAAAACAATCAGTCTGGCCATGAAACAGAGCTGATAGAACCTTCAGATCATGTTATGACTACCCTGAGATAAAAATTAGATCTAACACGTGACTATTTCTGTATACTGCATCCTCTAATGATTTGGATCAGGTATATGTTTTAGGTGGTCCTGAACTATATGTCAGCAGGTAAAGTCTCCAAAGACTATCATTTCTGGAGATTTCACTACTAATCCAAAGACAGTGTTAAATAGCACAGGCTATGCAGCAGTAAAAACTCAGTACTCCCTAAGGCCCAACTACAACCACTCTTTCTCTCCACCATTAATTTTACCTTCTCACACTTACCCATTCCCTCTCCGAGGTCTTGGAAAGCATCTAAAATTAACTATCCACAGTAACAGTCAAAACATCCTCAATTTAACTGTCAATCCACAGCATCGCCTCAAAGTGCAAACTTCAGCCTTGCTGCACTGAGCAGCTGAAAGGCAGTTGCATAGCAAAATTAGGACTAGGGGCTACCTAATGAATCTCACTGGAAGGATAAGCAAACAAGTAATTCACATAATTCATAATCAGTTTGCATAATTCATTATCACATGACGATAGTCACTGGAAGGTTTTAAAAGGATATTGAATACATTCACAAAGAACATGCTTACTAGGGATTACTAATGTTGAAGACTCAGTTTACTTCCAGGTTTGGGACAACATTCCCATATATGATATAAGGGAACAATGGTAGGAAGGCAGTATGTATCCGTCTTCTGTTTCGTGAGAACAACAGGGACATCTGGGTTGCTATTGAGAATGAAAATGTTGGACTGAAATGAGCCTTACATTGATCTGCATAATATGTGTGACGCATCCGACCCCGCACGGGCCCTGAGTTTAACACCTCTGATTTAGAATATCCTCAGGTGAAATGAATTATCTAAGTAGTTCTTATGTTGCTCAGCATAAGCAATCCTCATATACAGGTGGGATAGTTCATTGATTATGACTTTTTTTATAATTATAGTAATTATTGTAATTGAAATTTCAATTATGTCTGCTTTTTGTTTTCTTACTAATGCCTTGAACTTTGAGTTGCTATAGTAACAACTTTCATATCGGTGCTCTCTACTTAAAGAGCTTAATACTCTCATTTCTATAATAAACAGTATGTTTTTCATCTGAACTTTAAATAAAAAGGAATCCTAATAAAATATTGTGCATTTTGAAAGTTTATTAGAATATAGAAAATATTACTGGTGTGCAGAACATTTAAAATCCAAGCCATCTCAAACTCAAAACAGCTCATCTGATTGAATCACTGTATTTGTTTTGAGTTTGAAACAGATGTTTCACATTCGAAACAGGATCTTCTGATTCCTTTGGAAATATTTTAAGCTTGAATGCTCAAGCATGGTATAGCTGTTTTGAACATGAAAGAAATATTTTGAATTTGAAAAAGGCCAGGATGGAAATATTTTGCACACCTTTATGAAATGTACTTGTTTTTAACTTCTTTTTTGAAATGGGGAAATAATGTGAATATATTTTCAGTAACTACTTGGATGATACATCCACACATGAAAGAGACCATCATGACCGAAGATATGTTGAGGAATATCGAAATGACTTCTGTGACGTAGATGACCATAAGCATTATCACAGACATTATGAAAAGAGCCATTGTCATCATTATATCAAATCTTCTGGTCAAAGTGGGAAAAAGAATCATAAACGAAAGCATAAGAAACACAATCCCAGCAACAGCTCACATTCGGTATGTATGCTTTTAAAAAGAATAATAAATATATTATTGTTTTTAGGTTACTTCGAAGAATATTAGATTCTCTGGATATAGTTGGAAGATTTGATATGAAGTCTGCATTTCATTTTTATTATTTCTATATGATGGTGTATGTATGCATGTAGATTCTACTATAATGAAAGGTGTTAACTATCTGAGTTTTCATTTGGCTTAATTTGTCCAAAACAGGAAAACTCGGATTTGTTGCCTTTTGTCTTGCAGCTCAAAAAATAAAAATAGCTGTCTTACCCTTACTTGAATTAGTCTTACATCATAGTGAAGCAACCCTGTCTAGCTTGTTCCTTGTTCTTCAAAATGGATCTGTTTCAGTGGAATTAGTTTCTTAATACAATGTCTGTAATGAATTCATCATGTTTCTGTGAAATAGTTTCAAGCAAATATTAAGCATTGGATGATTTTATTATCAGAGAACGAATCATTTCAACAGTTAGCAAGATCTGAATATTTTACAAATAATAAAAGTACTTTTATTGTATACATTCAAATTTAAAAATGTTGAGATGCAAGACTTTGTTCTTACAGATGTATATCACCAGAATATTACACTGAATTTTACAAATTTTACTAATACTTTTCTCTTTAGCTGGTCTAATTATGGAATATAAATAGTTGCATGAATAATATGTCAATAAATATTAATCGAATTACATTTTTAAAAAAATTCAAGAAGTTCAGACCTGTTTTATAAAGATAAAAATGACAAAAAAATTGTTTTCGACTAGCATATGTAATTTAGATTTTAATCTTAGTTTCAATCTTCTGGTAATGTAAAATTTAAGAGACAAAATTGTGTTGTGTTTCTGTTGTCTTGCAACTTTAAGTATTTATCTGAAAATCTGTTCCTTGCCATGTTTTTCTTCTGTAACATAAACTGTGCCCTGTGAATTTCTGGGGACTGAATTTGAAATTGCTCCTGCCAACTGTTCGTGGCCTGGTGTGTAACTGAATGCCTGAATATCCCCGCTGAATGAATTGCGTAATCTACCCTGAATTCACTCTGATATATTGATTGGCTGGACGATCTTGGTGCCGTTTCCAGAAGAGCCATCGAAAGAAAAGATCCAGGAATGTAGAGGATGATGAGGAGGGTCACCTGATCTGTCAAAGTGGAGACGTACTAAGAGCAAGATGTATAGAATATTTTTCAACACTTTTAAAAAAAATGTCAGCAACACATCTGTTTAGAATAGTATGTTAGATGAGAAGTGGGGGCGGGGCTAAGAAAGCTTCATTGCTCTCTTTTACCTTTTGTTTTGTCTTTGTATTCTATTTCTTTTCTTTTCTGTACTCTTAAATATTGCTGTTTAAACAAACACAACAGTAAATAAAGCTTAAAGTTAGATTGATAGCTAGATAACTATTTTGTGACACCTATCCAATAAAAATAACACATTCTGAAGCAGACAGTAAATGTTATAATGATAGACTTAATAGTGTTCAGCTTTATTCAGCTAGTTCAATAACAGCTGGAATTCATTTCTTTTCTTTTTTTTAGATGAAGTTATCACTACTTTAGGAGAAGGCGCCTTTGGGAAAGTTGTAGAATGCATTGATCATCACATGTATGTATCCTGTTTCTCAAAAGTATTACTAACTGAAATGTGTTTATATGATGGTAGAAATCCTTCCGCACATGCTATTAATTTAAGCAAGTCAAACTTCAGAAAAATAGTTCAAAAATAATTATATGGTAGCCAACTATAATAATTTATTTTTTTCTGCATCTTCTGCACTGAGGGTGTAAACTTAGCATGATAACCACATTTTTTTAGTTCAAACCATAACTCAGAAAAGTCTTAACAACGCATCATGCCAACCCCAAGCTACATGTAGTCTTAACTGTCTTATTATTAAAACTAATTTGAATCATTTGTAGTTTTTGGCCTTTTTAATATATTATTTAAACCCATTCTCTTTACTATTATGTTGATACATCCAACCAAGAATACTAGTCCATAATAATGAATTAAACTTTAAAAAAGCATAAGGCAAACAAGACGAGAGGTCAGGTATTTATTAAGGGGCCTTAATAAATGCCTGCAGTCTAGGCTATGGACTTGAGGTTCTGTTAATTTATGCTGAATTCAACTTTACATGTTGAGCTTTGCATTTTCAAGCTTAGGAATTCTTTATTTTTTTATTTGCTGTTATTAAACAGCAGCCAATGAAGCCAAACTCACCTTCATTGAATCCTTTTACTGATTATTTTAATAGACTATTGGATTATATGTTTATGGTCTTGGTGATTGGTGATTGTAAGGAAGATGTTTATTCAGATTGTTGAAAGGCATGTAAAAAATAATTTCTACTAAGTTGCCACTTTGTTTCTTGTTATATCCTATTTTTTAAGAGAAAATTGCTAGATTTCTTTAAAAATTAAAATATGATATGATCTCATAGTTGGAAGATATGGAGACAGTGTTAACTTATTTTTCCTTTGGCTGAACTTCCATAAAATACTGCTCAAATGCTTTAGAAGACTCCGGTTCATTATAAGAAATAATGCCGAGTTACAAAATTAGTATAAATTTTCTTCCCCGCCAACCCTTGTCTTGGGGGTGCAACATCCTGACTTGATCAGTATGTAATCATTCTTGTATTATTTTGGTAGGGTTTGATGGTGATATGTACAAAATGACCAGATTGTAATATCCGAAAAGGTTTCAAATATTATTTACATACAAGAAAAGAATGTTCTAAAGTTATACTTTTGTTAACTGTTGTACAATATTTTAATATTATTTCTGAATCAGGGCATGCTAGAATTATATGATCCCATCTATCAGTTACTAAGTATCAGATAATAAAGGTTACAGAGGAATTTGTCTTAAATGCTTGAAAAAGGCTGTACTTAAATTGCAGTATTTTATTTCTTAGGAGAAAAATGCATGTAGCTATAAAAATTGTAAAAAGTGTTGGTAGATATCGAGAAGCAGCTCGTTCAGAAATACAAGTATTGGAGCATTTAAATACCTTGGATCCTAGTAGTACATTGTAAGTATAAATTGAAACATTAATACTATGTTTTAAAAAATAAATAATTTACTGTTTTATTAATCCCTTGTTTTGATCATGTTTTTATTCCCTAGTCGTTGTGTACAGATGTTGGAATGGTTTGAACATCATGGTCATGTCTGCATTGTATTTGAACTCCTGGGACTCAGTACTTATGAGTTTATTAAAGAAAATAGTTTTTTGCCATTTTCTATTGAACTGATTAGGAAGATGGCTTTTCAGATTTGTCAGTCCATAAACTGTAAGTATATTTAATAATTAAAGAATTATTTATATCTAAAATGCTATACAGGAATTTAAGTATTGAGTTCCTATTTCTTTTTCTTTTTCCAGTCTTGCATCATAATAAGTTGACTCATACAGATCTAAAACCTGAAAATATTTTATTTGTAGAGTCTGATTATATAGTAAAGTACAATTGTAAAATGGTAAGTGTTAAAACACACTTCTCTCTTGGTGGTTGCTACGCATTTTTTATTCTGTTCAATGTATTCAATTGCCATAACATTTTTTAGTATGAGATTCCTCTGTAAAATATTTAGTAAGACCACAATTAGTAAAATCATTGCATGAAGCAATGGAGTTCTTTAAGAAGTTTATTACTTTGATCACAATATATTTCAATTATAAGAGATCAAGAAATACAACTATTTTTTTAAAACTTTGTTACAGAGGCGAGATGAACGGACCCTGAAAAACACAGATATTAAAGTTGTAGACTTTGGTAGTGCAACATATGATAATGAACATCACAGCACTTTAGTCTCTACACGTCATTATAGAGCACCTGAAGTTATACTTGGTTAGTAAGAATCCTTTTCATACATGCATTTATAACAAGAATGGTGTTATTATTCCTATCCTTTCCTCTTTTCAACCTGAGTATCATGAATTAATCAGAATGTTGTGAATTGTGTTACAGCACTTGGTTGGTCTCAGCCCTGTGATGTCTGGAGTATAGGCTGCATTTTGATTGAATATTATCTTGGTTTCACTGTCTTCCAGGTATGCATATAACTTTTTAGTTATAATTCTAGAGTTAAATGGAACATTGAATCTCCTTTGAAATGAAATCTTATGGAATGTGGGTAAGATTATTTATCGGAACTTTATATCATCTGAGATGGGTGGCATATATATTTAATAAATAAATCATATTTAGAGGCAAAAATTGCTTACTTTAATATAGTATGGCTGAATAGTTCCAGCCTTACCTAAATGCTTCAGTGCTGTGGTTATTATTCTGGAAGTAATCAATTTCTGAGTATTTCTGGCATGGTCAGAAGACTGTTGGAACATTTACAAAGAGTTCAGAACAATCGGTTACTAAAACGAAACAATCACTCTGAATTCCGAATGTAAAATGTTATGCATACCACTAAAAAAAAGTGCACATTGAATACAGGTAATAATTGCTTAGCAACCATACTTGGTACCCACAATTCCATTGGTAAGTAATGTCTTCTTCATTGTCACCTCTTGTTGGAAGTGGACTATGAAGCATGCAAGTAGTGGTCACAGGTCACTGCTATGGTCTGAAAAATTTTGATAACATAACCATGGGGATTCTGTCAGAACCATTGTATCTTTAAATGGTCTCTAAACAGGGCAATTATTCAGCAAAGACTATTTATAAAATATACAGTTGAGGAACACTGTATTCCATGTTTTTGCATGGTTCAAAGTTCCAGACCTTGGAGACTAAACAGTTGTCCTTTTTCTGTGGAAACCTGCTGATGTGGGCAAAAGATATTCTGATTGTTAATGTTTACATTTTGGTGTATGCTTAATTTCTTTGGGCTGCTTTTGTTTTTTGCAGACACATGACAGTAAGGAACACCTGGCAATGATGGAGAGGATACTTGGGCCTTTACCAGTGCACATGATTAAAAAATCACGGTATGCTTATTTTAAATTGTGAACATGTCTTTTACAAAAAAGATTCAAAGAAAGCTTTTTTTGGGGGGGGAGAGATAAAAATCTGTTATGCTGGTAATATTTGCATAGGTTCATAAACTGTGATTCTTTTGTCTGGTTTGATGCAAATAAACTGCATGTTTGTGGATACGACCCATTTTCCTGGGCTTCGTTTTCTCTTTGCATGAGCAAAGAAAACCAAGTAGGAATGAATGTTTTATTGCCACATCCAATCCCTGGCTTGTTGCATCAAATAAATTAAGATTGCAAGAGCAGCAAAAATACGTTTTTCCTAAACCATCCCAATTTAAGATTTGTGAGTTGCAGCCAAACAGATTGAAGAAGGCTGCCCCTGAAAGATAGAATTCTTAATCCGTTCCATTTATCATATACTAAAATGTATTGTTAGAAACGTTCTTGGGCAGAGCAAAGTTTCCTTTCTTTTCCAATGTTAAGACTACATGCTTAGAAAAAAATATCTCCAACTGCTGCCAATAGGGCAAGATAGGTGGCAAATGAATTTAACAAATAAATAAATGTTCTTGGGAATTTTTATTTCCAAGTTAAAACACACAGCAATTGTTCTGGGTGCTGGGTACCAAAATAACTAGCTGTGAATTAAAGTAGGGGTAGCATTGGTGACTGTTTTTTTTTAATGGACAAATTAATGTTAGTTGAGAAAAGTAGCTGAAGCATATGTGCAACCCTAAAAACAAGCATCAGGAAGAAAGATTAAGGAAAGATATCCCTGAAAGAAGCTTGAGAAAAGGAAGAGTACAGGAGCACTTAGAGGAGAAAATATAGGTGTTTGAAATATTTTGAATTTGAAAAGAGCTGAGTTTAGAATGCATTATTCAAAGTTCAGACTTCATTGTTTCAGCAACTTCAGAAAGCCCTTTGCATTCAAAGCAGTGGTTTTTGAGCTAAAAACTTTTTTGAAGAAACTTGAAAAAAATTAGTATGGTCAAAATAATGCATTTCAAATTTTAATAGATTTGTACATCTTTTTTGTACAATTCACAAATTTTGTAAGCACATAGGAGTAGCCGCTCATCTTTTACTGCCTTACATGCAAGGCTGAAGTCGAAACATATTTATGTATCCTTTGGGTATAAATGAATTTAATGAATTTAATGTGGTAGGATTGTATTAAGGGTATTATAAATACTGAAAGAAAATGAAGCATTTATGTATTTACTTATGAATTAATAAATTATATTTGTAAACTGCACAGTCATACTGCTAGCCCAGAAATGAAGATTGGCAAGTTATAGTTAGCCTTTTTATATATAGGAAATGTTACTTTCATCATAACCAACTGGACTGGGATGAACAAAGCTCTGCAGGCCGTTATGTTAGGAGACGATGCAAACCACTAAAGGTAAGGGGGGGGGATTCTTGCTCCATTTAATGCTGACGTCCTAAGAGAATTTTTAAAAGTCAGCTTTTCTCTCTTTTCCCTAGGAATTTATGCATTGTCATGATAAAGACCATGAGAACCTTTTTGATCTCATCCGCAAGATGTTAGAATATGACCCAGCCAACAGAATAACTCTAGATGAAGCCTTGCAGCATCACTTCTTTGATTCCCTAAAAGCTAGATAGCTTTTCTTGTCTTCCTTAAAGGAAATGGACTAGGTCTGTCAACATCTGTTGTGAGATGTTGTAAATAATAAATTAATTTGTACAGTTGTTTCTGTAAATATAACCGTTACGTGTCTATACTGATGCTCCTGTATTATCTGGTTGAACAGTTACAGCTGATCATGGATGTTATCATGTAAACATTAAAGGAACATTTTTACAAGTGATTGTACTTTTTTGAGTTAAAGATGCAGGCAATAATGGACTTGGAAACTGTTAAACAATGGTGACATTAGGAGCAAGAGTTTTCAGAGGACAGTCAATATTTCAAGAACATAATTTAACAAGATAATTCAAAATTATCCTGCTTCTCCAAATTTTCACATTGAGGCTTACATTTTAAAATATTACAATATTTTATGTGATTCTTAGATTAATTACCTCTATATTGCAAAAAGTACTACAGGTAATTCTTACATTAAGACAGTTCACTTAGCGACTGTTCAAAGTTACGACATAGCACCACCCACCCAAGTACTTATGACAACAGTTACGAATATTGCAGTACCACAGCAGTCATTTACCCTTGCGAACGACCGCAGAGGCACTGCAACATTTGTCCTGCCTATTCCCTACCCCACCCCACCCCCATAACCGGGTCTCCACAGGCACTGGACCTGTGGAGACTCACCTTGCAAAGATCTAATGAGCTGTCTCCTCTCCAGCCTCTCTGCCACAGTTTCTTTGCTTTCTCTCAGTGCTCCAAAAGCAGAGTGATCAGAGCAGAGGAAGAGGGGTACGAGCACGCCCTGCTCAGCTTGCAATCTCCCTTCTAGGCTCTGATCGTCTTTGTAAAAAGCCTTTGTTGCCAAAAACAGCCCGGAAGGGACGTGCTGGCCCCTCCCGGGCTCTGTTCTTGCCAGCAAAGATTTTTGGAAAGGTTTGCCGAAAACTAGAGGGTGATTGTGTTCCTCTAGGTTCCGATTGTCTGCAAAAATCCCTTGCTGCCAAAAATGGAGCCTGGGAGGGACACAAACTGGCAGAGAAAAGACAGCTCGCTAGATATTCGCAAGTGAGACCCAGTGTAGCAGGATGGCAGGGAAGCAATTGTGGGAAGCATAAGGTATCAGTTGGGAGAGTCCTTTGATAGGGTATTCTATCACTAGCACCCTCCCCCCCCCCAATGGCCTTCCCCACCCTGAGATACTTCGTGTACTTAATGACCCATGCATTTGATTTGCGAATGTGTGGGTGAAAGCAGGGAGTTTACATGATTCACTCCAATGAATTCTTGGGTTACAAATGTAATTGGCAGGTTCCATTACATTCATAACTTGAGGATTACCTATATTTCAGTTCAGGGGTAGGTTTCAAAACCCGTCGCTACCAGTTCCCTCATGGGCGCGCAACACTTCTGCACATGCACAGAAGCATCCAGCTGTGAGCGCAGAGGCTGCCACCGCTGCTACCAGTTCACCCAACCCAGGGTGAACCGGTAGCAACCCACACTCAGTTATTTTAATGATTATGTTTGGTTAACATTTTAAAAATATTTTTGTTGGGTAGATTGTTGGGGGGATATAGTGGGGATACAGAAGAGAGTATAGATAAACCTTAACCACTTTCTGATATCAAAGTGAGATGTAACTTTCTAATGTGCAATTGATACCTGGACGTAAAATATAATTTAGCAGTCGTAATATAGTTTAGATTAGTTTTTATACTCATGAGTGAAATCCCATGATATAGAAAAAGCAGTAATTGTTAGAATGCTATTAAGTTGGTCTCAACACTTAGTGTTGGTTCATTGTGGGCCAACATTCTCTATCTCAGCCTATCTTCAATTATAATCTACAACTCATTCAAGGCCTTTGTCATCCAGTCCATCTACCTACCTATTCACTTACCCTTCCACTGCTAACCTGAACCTTGCCAAACATGTTTGCATGCCAAAGTATGTAAATTTCGGCTTGTTGATCATTCTCGAGTCAGTCTTTTTTGTTCCATGTTGATGGATTGGTTCTCATTGCAGTCCTTGGTATTCTCACTTGCCATATTCAAAGCTATGGTTCAAAGGATATCCTTGCATTTTTCACTCTCTGCCCACCTTTCCCTGACACCAGTGGTGGGTTGCCCCCAGTTCGGACTGGTTCTATAGAACCGGTAGTAAAATCGGAGGGAGGCTCCGACCCTGACATCATCAGAATGCTTCTGCGCATGCGCAGAAGAGCGCATGAGTGGCCCCGTTGCAAACCAGTAGTAAAGGTAAGTAGAACCCACCCCGCCTGACACATGACCTTGACATAGTCCAGTGGCTTACTACCTTCAGGGACTCTGAAAAGGACACTGGCATAGGTTCCTGCTAATGATGAAAGAATACAGTTGATGTTATAGGCAATCTATAACAGGAAGAAGGGACATGAGGGAAGCCAGGCTACCTGCATCAAGAAACTCCAAAATCATATTTGAAGATGATCATGGCAAACCCTCTTTCTGTTGTTTTCGAAGAAACTTAAGAATATAATATTAAGATCTGTAAAACCATTTGAATTTTTGTGAAGGCCTTTTTAACATAGCTATGTTACTTTTTGAATGGTTTTATTAGAACCATAGAAAAAGTGTTTACTGTATTTTGATACTGTTCTTGATCTAAATAATTCAGTTGGGGTACTTCCCATTTCATTCTCACACCACTAGTAATTATAAAGAGAGACTGTCTGAACCAAGGTCATCCAAAAATGTAACAAAACAAAATGCTGAGTCCGATTAATTGGAAATAACTCTATTCAGCTGACCATCAATTATTATCAATGTCACATACTGTATGCTGCCAGAAATTCCAGGTTAATTATGTTGTCTGCTTCCACTTTTAATGTTCATAAGTCATTACAGCATTTATAGCAATTTCATGAGGCATTCGTATAACTACATGCTTTGGCCAACAGCCCACATTTTATCTCCCATTCATCTTTTTTTCCCTCCTTCCTCTGGCAAACTATTCAAGCAGAATGGTACAAAGAAGTTCAGATTTCAGAAGAAATGAAAGCTCCCTAGCAATTCACTTTATAAATTTTTGGAGATGTGTGATTAATAAAAGCATTTACCCCTTATTTCCTTATCTTAAATACCTAATTTACATGAGTCGGCTCAATATTTTTCATCTTTCCTTGCCAGTTCAGAAGTGTATTTTTAATTATTCTGTATACTGTATTTTTTGAGGGATTTTACACAAGCACAGTAGATTTGCATTTTGGACATCTGGAATTCTTTGATGATGAAAAATCCAATTGTTTGCTTTCATGGAAATGATTTTGCTAATAGACAGGAAAAGTCACAATTCTCCCTTTCTGTAAATTGTCTTATAGTGCTCCTGACATTCTGTAGCAGATTATGAGATGCCTGCAGAGGGAACTAGGGAGTGAAGAGTTTCCAGTTCCAGTTCATATGATACTGACTGCCGTTCATTATGGCAGTCAAGCATTTATTTTCTTCCAAAATTCAATGTTAGTGTTGATGTTTTTAAAGTAACTTTATAAACAGTGAAGAACTGGCAATTAGTATTTCTGGGAGTTAAGATGAAAAGATCAGAACAGAGGAAGTTGTGGAACTTCTATGCTATTAAAAGGACTGAAATGGGTTGGACATTTGTGTATAATAAAGTCAAGTACCACTCATCACAATTTGCTAATAGGGGATGAACAGGCAATCAGCTTTGAAAATAGGGAAATTACTGATTCAAGTAAGGTATAAGAAATACTGCTACAAAGGAGATCTATTTACCGTATTTTTCACACTATAAGACGCACTTCCCCCTCCCCAAAAGTGAGTGGAAATGTCTGTGCATCTTAGAGCGAATATTGCAGTGGGAGAGGGGGGTTGGTGTCACTTGTCACCGCTGCTGCCTGTAACTGCTGCTGCTGTTCGCTGCCGCCAGGGAACACCGGAGCCTTCACTGCCAAGCAGCCGATTGGTGGTTGGATCGGCTTCCTGGAATACCACTGATCGGCTGTTCTAGGCGATAATGCTCGCCGCCGCAGCTGAATGGCAGCAGCGACAATAGGCGGTGATCAGTGGTGGTGATCCCCACTGCCTAGAACAGCTGATCGGCGGTATTCCGGGAGGCCGATCCAACCACCAATCAGCAGGGAAGGCTGCAGTGTTTCCTGGCAGCGGCAGCAGCTCAGATAAGTTGACTGGTGGACGCAATGGACAGAGCCCTGACGAGCCATTGCTGTGGCTGCGATAACGTACTGAAGCTGACCAGGCTGTTTGCTGCAAGGATGCTAGCCAGATGAATACCGGATGGATGCTGGGAGGTAGAGGCAGATTTTTTTTTTTCTTGTTTTCCTCCTCTAAAGGTAATGTGTGTCTTATGGTCCGGTGCATCTTATACTGCAAAAAATATGGTAGTCACTTTTATATTAACAGATCACTTTTTCATTAAAAATGCCTATTTAAATGGCTCTTCATCGACAAAGGACAATGATTATCATTCTGTGATTGCTATGACTTGCTAGGGTATTGGTAAATAATTTACAATTTTACATATTTTATTGAAATGCTGCTTTTCTATTTAATTTCTACAACATGATTACTAATCGTGCTTTGAGTTCAATAACTGGTTACAAGGTTAGTGATTATTACAACAGTTCATATTTAAGTTAGAAGTATCCAATTTTAGCATCTTCATCCATTGATACAAGGTGAGGTTACATCAACATGCTGATGATACCTAGATGTAAATCTCCGTCCTGGGCAGATGCAGTGGAAGTCCTGACCTGGTATATGGAGGCTGTTAGGTCTGAATAGGAAGAAATCTTAACACTACTAACATGATTTTTCCAAATGTTTTGGATTACAAGTCCCATAATCCATGGTCACTGGATATATAGGAGTAATGGACCAAAAACGGAGGGCACATAGATTTGCTGTTAATTATACTCTGATTTATCTTAAAATTATTGGGTTATTGAGAACTACACTAGATCTTAACCTGTCTGAAATATTAGGAAAATACATATTTATAAAAAGTGATTTTTTTTCTGTAGTGCAAGTACTAATATTTGAAAAGTCTTCGGTTATATAGAAAATTAGAATTTTTTAAAAGAATATTTGTCAGATCCATTTATCAGCTGGTCAATTGCCCAACTACTGAAATAATAAACTGGTAGGAGTGACACAAGATCTCCTAGTGTGGAGATATTGCTTGAGTATACAGAAATG